CTATGCAGGAATATCCATCTCAGGTGAGCCATCTTCCAGAGGGAACCTCTTCGCACATACACACTTTCTCCATCCCATTAGTATGAAACTAACAAACTGAAAACAAATTATATGTATATAATGTATGGAAATAAATTTTAGCTACATATATTACATATGACCCAGCCCAAACTATAAGTTCAAGGAAACAAGCATTTTATAAAGTGTACCATTCTATCTTTTATTCCTTTTAAATGTAATTTTAAGTGTCTAGAAAGATAAAAATAACAACAAAAACAAAAAGTTTTTAAGAAAGTAACTGAAGGAAATGGAACTAAATCATCTCCTAAAGCCACTTTTATGCACAGAGCCTACTCAAATACAGTATGATTTTTACTGTAGGAAAACATCTGGCCAGCTGGCCCATTCAATTGGGGGTATGACTATTACCTGGAGAATGTTCAGAACATGCAGAGTCCCAGACTGTCCTGCAGGTATTCTGATTCAGTGGTTCTGAGGAGAAGCCTAGGAATATGCATTCAAATAACAAGTCGGGCTAATTCTGATAGCATGTGACCCACTGACCAGATTTTCAGAAACACTGCCCTGGACGGTTTCCCCTAAAGACTCTTTCTCTCTCTCTTTTTAAAAATCCTCACCCAAGGATATGTTTTACTGATTTTAGAGAGGGAGAGAGTGAGGGATGGAGAAACACTGATGTGAGAGAGAACATTTATCAGTTGCCTCCCATATGCGCCTTGACCCGGGATCAAACCTGCAACCTTTTGGTGCATAGGACGACACTGTGACCAACTGAGTCACATGGCCAGGGTGAGACTCTAACTTATTAATAATCACTGAGTTTACTTGGGAATGCTGTCACCTACCAGGGCTTCTTAGATTGGCCTTTAATAGAATACTGGTTTAAAGAAGAAAGCACTGGACTAAAAGGCCAAAAGGCCCAGATTATATTCTCAACTCTGTCACCAAATAGCTGGATGACCTCATCTCTCCTGTAGTAAAATGAGCTAATAAATTCAACTGGCATTACATGGGGTGGTTAACATTACACAGGAAAATCTGTATTTTTCTTTCCTGAACAATGAAAATCAGCAGCAAGTACTATGAGATTCCTGGTGTGCTGCTTTAGTCTGGGTCTGGCATTGGTTCACCTACTAGATATTGGGAGGAAATATCCAAATCTGTTTAACGTGAATGGAATTTCCCATATACCCATTCTGAGCCAAACTAAAACACTGAGCAAGGAATGAAAGAAATGAGACATGCACCCTTACCTTTCCTAGAGAATTAATGTGTAAACTCACAGAATTCATTCTATACTAGAACTCATTATTAGAATTAGGAATCATTCCGTATTAGAGATATGCAAAACCCACATGGAAGGACTGAGAAACAGAGCAAAGAAAGAATGTTCAGGATTGTTCACCAATGTTCAGAATGTTCAAAGAAACAATGGGAGGAAAATGTCTGAGAGATCTTTGTGGAGAAAGTAAGTAATAACGAGTAAGATCTTTACAAGACATGGCCTTTGAGGTCATCAGACTGAAAGAGTCTTGAATTCTGGGTGTTGGCTAAACTGAGGCAGACTCCCTGGGACTACAGAACATAATAATTTCCCTCCTAAACTGGACCAGTTCTTTTCTCTCTCCTAGTTCATCTCCCCAAACTGGGCTGATGCCAAGTTTGAACATACATACATGCATGCATACACCTACCATTCCTTCAATGGTTTGCTCTTCTCAGCACAGACTGTGCTTTTTTCACTGGAGATAAAAAAAATGGATGAAGCCATGGTGCTGTTCTCAAAGTTTCCAGGAGAACCACACAGTTCAGTTGTGAGAATTTCACAGTAGCTATGTGTGTATCCCAGTGAGCTCAGATTAAGTAACCCGGGAAGATTCCATATCTTTATTCTTCTCTTTTTTCCAGATTAACTCATTCTGCCCAGTGGGAGAGTGACTGGAGAGGATTAGCACAGTATTAGCACAGTGTTATGATTCTGGTGTGGATCCTGGAGTTCAACTGTCTGCTGGGAGTCCTGGTGCTAAGTAACCCATAAACCACTGCCAGCTGTGTGATCCTAGAAACTCTCAGAACTTTGCCTGCCCTCAGCTGAAAAATGGGAACAATAAATTGATATATGTAAAGCACAGAGGACAGTGCCTATAAGCTACATATGGGCACTATGTAAGTGTTCACTATCAAGAGATCGCCTCCTCCCACAGCAGTCGGCAGATTCTTGAGAGCAGGAAATCCACAACCCCCAACCCTATCACAGATGGGCACCCCCCCAAGAGCATCTACTACATGTGAAACATTCAATAGGTGTGTTTGTATGTGGGCTTGCCCAGAAGAGCTTCCTTTAAACAAATCTGCATTTCCTTCTAGCCTGAGGTCCACTGTCTTCAGTGAGATGGAAAACAGCTGGTGAACACCCTTTTCTATTGCCCCTAGCACTCCACGACCATTCTCAGGTTACCCATCAGGCTCTTCCTTTCCATGTGAATCCATTCTTCATCACTGCCCTCCCAGCCCTTTAATGATCTTCTCTCCTTGACCCAGAACCTGCCCCAGTTCTCTGGGTCCACATTGCCCAGAGAGCTCCAAACAGGACAAGCCCACACTTTTCTCCAAAACACCTTTTCCAGTTTTGATCGGAAAAGGGCTCTGGTGCATATATACTGAAATACTTCTGAAAACACAATTCCATACACTTTCTTACTATTTCCTGCACCTTAACCTGATGGATTAACCTGATGGATTAAGGTGCCCCAGAAGGAAAGGAGTGGACTGTGCTCATAACTGAGAAAAGATATGTGAGCTGATAAATATCTTTGCCCACTGCAACTTAGATCAGAGCTAGAAAGTAGGCTTCATTTCATTCTCCTTTTTACACTGTATTGTCTGTACTCCTTCCAGATTCTGAGGTTATGTCTAAATTCAGTAAGAAATGGGCACCAATCAAATTGTAGTGTATGTCATGGGCTCAGGAGTTGGGAACAGTTTTGATATTTATTAGAACTGACCTAGATCTTTCTGTCAGTCTGTGAACTCACCTGGCAAACTTCTAACATGCTGCTATGCACATAGTCTCATTTAAAGAATGCAGTAAGCATTTCAGGTCAAATATTTTCTCAATTATTTTGATCTCTCAATAATGACTTTTAGGATTAAAAATATTCAACAAGGTTGCAATTAGCTGTAAAATGTGTTTCGTGGAAGGAACGACCTAAGCTATTATCAGCTTATCTACCACTATTCAACTTTAGACTAACTAGCTGGTCACTTAGCCAGGGCCTAAGGGAATCCAAGACAGTAGGTTTTGACTTGGAAGATGAAAAAGAAAGGAATTTGGAGGACAGTAGGTTCCTATTTAACATCAAGAGGTTCTTAAAAACTGCAACTTTCAACAAAATGACATACAAAAAACCAGTTTTACCAGAAGCTAACTGATAAAAACGAGAGTTACATTCTTAAGGCATATTTCTGGTTACACAAACATCACCAAACTTCTAAATAAAGACCTAAAACATTTTTAATATTAAACATTGAAATAAATGTGGGCTATACATACATTTAAGAAAGATGAATAAAAACAAGGAAGAGAATTATTTTCCAACCCACTTAGTCCAGTTCAGGGCCGTAGGAGTCAGGAGCCACCCGGACAGGACACCCTTCCGTCACAGCGTGCACTCGCACCCACGCTACTAGGACTGGGACGATCAGACACACCAGCTCACCTCACAGGCACATCTTTGGGGTGTAGAAGGAAACCAGGGTCTCCAGAGAACACCCACACAGACACAAGAGAATGTGCCAACTCCACACAGATAGGGGCCCCAGCCAGGGATTGATTTTTTCCTCATCGTTATAACAAAATGATGTTGAACAAAATGACATCATTCGAGGACTTGTACTTTCCCAAAACACACACATGGACAGAGTTACACAGTGTAGTCTGGACAGTCATTATGGGATGTGAGGGCACACAACATTGGAGAGAATAATAAATGGAGTGTCACAAAAATGGATTGGTTTTAGCAAGATAGAGATTTCTAACAAGTACACACCATCTGTTTCACAAATTTTCTCATTCCTGGGCTTAGGGAATAATTCTAAGTTTCCAAAATGCATAAAAGCTATGCAAGACACCAAAGTCACTAATCAACCAGATGAAGCAAATCAGCTAAGGTCTATGTGGCCTGCTAAAGAGGAACCCAAGGAGGTGCAGGCATTCAGCTCAGTGCTTTGGTGAAAGGAACTGAATGAAAGATTGGCAGTCTTTCTTCCTTCTGGGATTTGTAGATCTTTAATTACTGTATTCGCCTGCCCTAAGGATGTTCACATATTAAGATCTCTAACATTAGGATGCATCTTACAATCAATGGCACATCATAGTTTAATTGAGAACTTGTTTTTCCTTTCATAACGGAACACAAAATAATGCCATCTATTACATCTGATGACACCTTAGATGTAATGAAATATGGTATATTGGAAGGGGGATTTAATACATGGGAATATAAAAAGAATCCTTTGCCATCTTTTCTCTGGGCTTCAGCCACATCAGCACAGCCCTCCAAGCCTTTGTCTTAAATCCATCAAGTGTTTGGAGAGTCCCTAAGACTTCCAGGCACAGTGATTATGCTTGTGTGGCTACATGAAAAATCTTGTCAGAAAGGGAAAAGGCAAGCTGGCCCTATTTATTTTAGTATGTCTTCAGCTATTTTAAAGGGTTTTTTCTTACTTCCATGTTGGAGGTCTTTCTACCAGTTTGGAAAAGTGCTTCTCTTCCTCAATTCCCCAAACACACCAGTTAAATTTTAAAGCTTTGGGGTTTTCTATGTGGCCCTCTGTTTCTGTTAGATCAGGAAACAGCCACTGAAGAAGGAAGGAATGCTTTCAGAGTGTCACTTACACCCCAGAGGCTCTGTACCACCCACGGTCTTCCCTCTCTGCCTCTCGAATGAATCAGAGCAGAATTAAATATCAAAACTCACTCAGACACTCCCAGTTTCTCCAGGCCTTCGGTCCAGCCTTTGCCACCTGGTGAGGAATACAGCTTAGCTGAGCTGTGGGAATATAAAATAGAGTTGCTCTTGGTGCCTTGTCAATCAACATCTAATCCCACGCAAAGGCAGATAGTGCAGCCATGTGCCTGCCACATGTAGAATGTTACTCAGCCACCTTGGAGGGAGGGAACCACTCCTCCAGGGAAATTCTAATAGCCCAGACATTTGACTCAGGGATTCAAGTGGAGGAAGAGAGGAGAGGTGGATCAGCAATGAGTCCATGGCAAGTATCAATGTGCCTCTGGCTTCTCCTGTCTTGATCATCCAGCTCTGCATGGGAAAGAAAAAGAAGGAAAGAGGACAGGCAATAAAAGATAAAAAGGAGAAAAGAGGAAAAAGGTGTTCTCTTCTGGAAGCATAGGCAGGAAGCAAGAGGAGCACATTCTCCCAAAGTTACATTTCTAAACACAAATTTGTAAGGTACTCTGTTGATATCACTAGTGCTAAAAATAATACAGGAGAAAAGACAACAATGTGAAAGCAAGAAGCTAAGAGAAACCCTCTGTGAGAAAACCTGTAAGTAGAGAGTGGGCCTTTCTCTTTCCCATAAAGAATGCCACATGGATGCCATGACTCTGTTTAGGGAAGTGGCTTAGTCAGGAGCCAAGAGATGGTGACACGGAAGAAGCTAAGTTGACAGTCATTGAGGTGGACTTCAAGGAGTTCAAGCTCAGTCACAGAGAAAAATTAAAAATCTATTAGCTACGGTAACTAGCTAACAGAACAAAAATACATTCATACATATGCACATGCCCTCCAGTGAATGCAATAGGTGTCTCTGTCTCTGTTTGTTTGGCAAAGCCCTAAAGGAGAGTGATACCTTTCTGAAATCCTCCCTCCCCATGTTATTTACCTTTAAATTATGTTTGCTCATACCTACAGAGTATTAAGACACTTACTGATTTATCAAAGGAACTCACAGGAATGAAACCATCTTCAAACTGAGACTTCAACAGAATTGACAGGTGCAATAGTTCCCTATGGAAGAGCTATGACATGCAGAGGAACATGACTATCACTGTCCTAAATTATCTGCAATAAATTGTCCAAGTTCCTCCACTTAAGGATATGAACACATCTCTTTCTCTTGGGATTGTGTGAGAAGCAAACATACCTTTACTTGTCTGATCTACTCCTTTGTGGTTTTAAGTAGGGGAGAACAAGTAATGCATCCTCATCAAAAAGAATATTTTTCTTCTCTAATTCAAAAAGCTTAAGAAGAAATCCTTACATGTGTATAGAACCTTCTACTGTTCTAAGTATACTCAACTGTTAGCACATTTGATGCTCACAGGCATTAAAGCCCATAAATGAGATATGCATTTACAATTATCTTAATACTACCAAACAAACCAGCAATAGTTCTAAAACTATTACATACCAGCTGCTCACGGCCTCAAGTGATCTTTCCATCCACTATCCTACCCTTCCCTAGAGCCTTTTTCCCTTCCTGGTCAGTTCTGCCTCTTTTACTTTTTTTTAAAGCCCTGATTGTGTTTATTTTATTTAATCTTTAATCCTCACCTGAGGTTATGTTTATTGAAAGAAAGAGAGAGAAACATCAATATGAGAAACGATGATCAGTTGCTTCTGGTATGTGCCTCAACTGGGGATCGAACCCACAATGGGGATAGAACCTGCAACTTTTTGGTTTACAGAACAATGCTCCAACCAACTGAGCCACCAGGCGAAGGTACTCTTTTACAACTTTTATTATTGTTGTTATACATACAGGTATTTGCATTTCTGTTGCCTCTGAAGATCTTTATTCATAAGATGGTAAATCTCCCCCCTTTCCCTTCCTCTATCTCACTCTCTCCCCTCTCTCCCCTCCCTCCCTCTCTCTTCTCTCCTTCCTACCTTCCTTCCTTCCTTCCAACTCTCTTTTTTGTACTTCCATTACCCTGATCAAATGACGCCCACATATTTCCAACAGATTTTGTCTTGTTTCCCTTTCATGGCCTCATGCACTTGGGCTTACTCTTTAGTACTTACTCTTGTTCTCCTTGTGATTTTTTGTACAATGTTTACTTGCACTTCCTCACTCTGGTTCTATTTCTGCTGTCGCAAAGATAAGTTGATGTTAGTCTCAAATCATCAACTTCAAAATGGAAATTACTTATTCGTACAGAGAATCATTCCAAAATGTTTCTTCTTACAACTCAGCCTTTACTCATCACCCCTACCACAGGATTTTAAAGCTGAAAAATACCTATGAAATCTAATCCAACTATCTCATTTAAAGATGAGTAGAGTGAGCTGAACTTAGATCTCATCATCTTTGGTCTTTGCAACATATACTGGTATCTCACCCAGTCACATCTCCTATCTGAATTTTATTCTTGACATTGTCACCTAGTGCCCCAAATGTAGTCTGAACTCATTCAAATTCCTTCATTGAGTTCCTCACCCTTCCCAACACCCCCTCACCCCAAACCCTGCTGCTCCTCCTCGGTGAATATACCATCATCCACTACATGTCATCCTTGACTTGGTGACATCCTGATTCCTCTCCCTTCTCTCTCCATCCCCAGCTCATCTCTTGATCTATCCCCTTCTTTTGAGCCTCATCACTATCCTAGTTCAGGCCACTAATAGCTCTTACTTGAATAATTACAATAGCCTCCTAAGTTCCCTGTTCCCCTCTTGTCCATGTCCAACTGCAACCTCACCTCCTTGCAGCAGCTAGAGGGAATTCTCTAAAAACAAAATCTGATTATGTCACTACGCTGATTAAAACTATGAATGAACCTCATTGCCATTAAGGGAAAGTCCAGACTCTCAGCTAGGATACAAAGTGGTCTGCATTTTGGCCTCTCCTCATCTCTAATTTCTGCATCTTTGATTGAAAGACTAGTATTAGTCCAAAGCCTTGCCCCTTCTTCTGTACTTTTTCTGAAAACATTTACATAAGGAATTCCTTTTCTCTCACACAACTCCACTCCAGTAAGACAAACAACCCAATCAAAAAATGGGCAAAGGACTTGAACAGACACTTCTCCAAGGAGGACATACAGAGAGCCCAGAAACATATGAAAGGATGCTCGGCATCACTAGCTATCAGAGAGATGCAAATTAAAACCACAGGGAGATACCACTTCACAATGGTCAGAATGGCCATCATAAACAAATCAACAAACAAGTGCTGGAGAGGATGTGAAGAAAAGGGAACCCTAGTGCACTGTTGGTAGGAATGCAGACTGGTGCAGCCACTGTGGAGAATAGTATGGAATTTCCTCAAAAAAATTAAAAATGGAACTGCCTTTTGACCCAGCAATTCCACTGCTGGGATTATATCCTAAGAATCCTGAAACACCAATCCAAAAGAACCTATGCACCCCAATGTTCATAGCAGCACAATTTACAATAGCCAAGTGCTAGAAGCAACCTAAGTGCCCACCAGTAAATGAATGGATTAAAACACTGTGGTACATTTACACAATGACATACTATGCAGCAGAAAGAAAGAAGGAGCTCCTACCCTTTGCAGCAGCACAGATGGAACTAGAGAGCATTACACTAAGTAAAATAATCCAGGCAGTAAAAGACAAATACCATATGATCTCACTTGTAAGTGGAACCTAACCAACAAAACAAACAAACCAGCAAAATATAACCAGAGACATTGAAATAAAGAACTGACAGCAATCAGAGGGGAGGGATAGAGGGGTAAGGGGGGAAATAAGAGAAGGGTCATCAAGGAACATGTATAAAGGACCCATGGACAAAGTCAAAGGACATAGGTTCAAGGTGGAAGGTGAGGATGGCTGGGGCAGGGCATTGGTGGAGTGAAAATAGAGACAACTGTACTTGAACAACAATTTAAAAAATAAAATAAATTTTAAAAAGAGAACTCCTGTTCTCTTCTGTGTCTCTCATGAACCATGTCATTGCTCCCTCGAGCTTTGTGTGGGTAGCATCATTACCCTCCTCTGGCCTCTAGTCCCTCATCACTTTCGCAGTATCTTCTCAGACTTACACTATTTTTCCTCAGCTTAGTTCACTTTTATTTCATAGAGATTATTTGCTTTCTATTCTGGGTTTCCTCTGCACCTTCCCATTAATGATATGAGAAACCTGCCCACTAGACTGAAGTTTAAAGGCTTCACTTTTCTTTCCTTTTTGATACAAGGGCCTGTACTTGCCCACATAGCATTTGCTCACCCCTCTCTCAGCTGCCCTCACCCCCAACCTGATCAACCAGCACTGGCAGCGACCTGCTGTCTCATGTGCAAGAACACAGAAAGGCGCCTGCTCCAGCCAGGAAATTAGAATTCATCCAGAGCAGGGAGGTCCCCGGATCTGTTCATTCATATCGAGCCTCAGTTCCTTCCTACTGATGTTTGTTCTTCCTTTTACAGCCCCAGCATCATTCCTTTTGGCACAGGAGATGAATGTAAAGGAGGACTGATGAAGTTTTCACTGCACTGGTCATTCATCAACAGTGCCCTGGTGCTGCCAAGCACCCGGCCAAAATGGTTTCTTTTCTTCTTATTCCATGCTTAGTTTTAAATCCTTTTCCCTCTGCTAAGTAAGCATTTTTGAAAGCCTCTGTTCACTTTAAGCTTCAGCTTTCTGGCCTTAAAAAATTTTTTCTTTTCATTTTTTTTCTTTTTCATGCTAGACATTTTCTTTTATGCATCCCCAGTTTCAGGGTTATTCTTCTGAATTTTATACCTCTTTAAAAATCTAAGTTCATTGGAGAATGACCTGTAGAGCCTACCCGGGCTCTGTGGGTTTCTTTTCTTTTTCGATCTCACTTACATCCAGTCCTCTGAAATCATCAGAAGAATATCAGGGTAGAATCAAGAGTAATTTAGCATGGAGCTGTTTTTCATTTACTTTTAAGGTACTCATTGTAAACTTGATTCATAAAACATTGTAGAAAATACAGAAAATCTAAAAGAAAAAGGCTAACTGTATTCAGAAGTTGGTCAACTAGGAGTGATCATCACTGATATTTTGGAGTATACGTGCAGGGGTTTTTTTCCCCCATGATT